CAGACAGTTTCCTTGCATCAAATATGTTCTGGAAATAATACCCTAATTACTAATTTACATGATAATTTCCTTAAGCTTAAAGCATTTCTAGATATAAATCCAACTGTGCTTTCTTCACTATATCTAATGTGATATTTGTATCATAAGTTTGGTTTTATAGAGTTCATAGTGTTTTGAGTAAATGCTAATAATACATATCAGTGAAAAACTTAGCTTAATACACTGTAAATTTTATGATAGTAACACATTTCTTACTATCTACTGTGTTAGCTTTTGGATTATAGTATTAAATGTGTACATTTTCTTTCTGAAAAATAATGTTTTGGGTAAAATTGCAGTATTTCCAGTATCTCTCACCTGGCTTTAGTGCATCTGCATATTAATAGGTGTTTCCAAGGGGTGGAGAGAGTTACCATCTACATATCAATAGGTAATTACAAGGGTGTGGGAGGGTTTATCTGGACTGGAGAGGTTCCATGGAGCTCTCTGGTCTGCTGCAGCCTGGTCAAGAGAGAGATGGGGCAACTGCTTGTAAGAGGTAAATGGGTTTCTTAAACTTTATTTCTCCCTTTGACTGACTTTGGTTTCAAAGGTATTTTGCCTTGGGATTTTCCCCTGGAGTTACATATGGTCAGCCATGTTTATGGGTGTATTGTTTCTTAATGATTTATGATTAGTATTATTAAAAGAAAACAATAGCTGTATTTCTTCTTAATATATCTTTCTGTGCAACTGAAATTCAGAACAGTATTAAATATAATCAAGTTCAGAATTAAATTTTTCTTAGATATAATTGTTACTTTTAATTGTCGAATTTGTATTTAAAATATTAAAGATAAGTGAAGAATACTAAGATCACTTAGATTGCTTCATTGCTTTCATTTAATTAATATAATATGCTGTGGTATTAATTCATCTTTAATACTGGGATTTTTAATTAATCTCAACAATATTTACATTTGACCATCTTTGTATTTAGGTTCTCTCAAGATCCCACTGATTTTAATATTCTATGAGCCGTGCAGTGTTACAGGGCTTATAGGTTTTACATCCAGTCTGCAAGTGAAAGGGAACTAATAAAGCATTAAGAGCACATAGAAAGGAAAATGATAAGTACTCAAGGTAGGGTTATAAGTATATTTTTGTCCTATACATACATTACATGGAAGGCCAAAATATTAACCATAAGACTGTTTTTAAGCATGAAATTAGAGCAATGGGAATTGGTGCAATAAATCTTGATACCTTCTGCATTAAGCCAATTGACCTTGGCTCACCCAATTTCTGATCTGGAAGAATTTCTGATCCGGGAAGACCTACGACACATCCCAGAGAATGACATCCATATTAGGGCATCTGTTCCTGCATATATTGTTGGAGCTTTACTATAAAATTTGGATATTTTTCTTCTTTTTATTCTCTACCATTTGAAAATATAGCAAATCACTGAAAGACTAGCAATTTATTATCTTCTGAAATTTAACATGGTATATTTGACTAAGCTCAGTAGATTTACCCTAGATTGACTAAATTTAAAAATGACAATTTTCCACAGAATTATCAGAGACAAAAATCTATCAAGTTGTTTGTTTTGTTTTGTCTTTGCTACAAATCTGAACACCCTCCTTCCATCATTGCAGCATAAAGGATGTAAGGGAACAGGAAAGTTATTTTCAGTAAGAGCAAGGTATATTTAAGATGAAGCAATGGCACTTTGGTAATCTTTTGAAAAAAAATCTACTCTCTAACACCGTAAGAGTGATTTCTCCTTAGATAGGAGAGCATTCCCCGTGCATGACGATTATGCCATTTGATTTTGATAGTATAGTATGAATTTGTTAATTCAAAGCCTCAAAATAGTCTTAAGCCATGACTGTATTTACTCACATCTCATCAAAGTAGAATTAGCTGTTTGGCTAAATTACTTCATATTCCATATGAAGATAAAATGGTGATCATATCTGTTCACACCTTTAGACACTACTATAAGTCCATTTCTGTCAAAAAAATTTTTTTTTGTTTTGATAGAAGACCTAGGAGGATTATATACCAACCCTAATCTAGTAATCTGTAAAATATGGGGTATTCAGAGCAGCACTAGTCCTCTAAACCTCATCAGCATCAGCTAAATGTGAGTTCTGATCTCTCAGAATTGCTATGTAATGATTCTAACCAACAGAGATAGACTGTAGGAAGTATAAGAAAGAAAATGCAAAGTTGAGGGAGGATATCTGACTAACAGAACTTTGAGTTTAAATCCTGAGTAAGTGGCAGGTCATTTCATAGCTATTTGACTTTGAGAGAGTTCCTAATCCTCTCTGAAATGTAGTTTCTTTGATATGTAATATGCAGATAATAATAACCACTGCTCTTGTAAGGATTAATAATAGGATGTAGAGCAGACTTTAAAAAATGTTAGCTCTTACTTTTATACTTCTCTTATGTTTTAGGCCTGTCTAGACCTTTTTTTGATGGTGAGAGAACAAGGAACAGGATATATGTCTGTTTAAAGGTATATATTTTATATCTCAATCCCTCATCTTGGTAAACAAAGCATATACACTGAAACAAAATTTTCACAAAATTGTACGTATCACATTATGTGCCATGTACTGTGTATTTTTTTTCTGCTGAATACTAGTTTACTTCATTAAAAAGTAATTGTTCTTGAAAAACATTCCTCTAGGCCATCTTAAATGAACCTAGGGCCTAGAGTTTGAAGAAATAAAAACATGTAGTTTCAGGCTGAGAAGTAACCTTTCCATTACCATATTCTTTCTCTTCCCTGGGTTTAAGGCTACACTTGGATATGACCATCATATGCTACCAAATCACTGCTATTTAAGAGGTATATGCACTGAATTTAGAAGTAGTTTCTTTGGCAGGCCAAGGTGTTACATGAAGACAGCAAGACTTGAAAACTCTCTCTAGAACCTGATAGCATGAATAATTAGTATTTAGTGAAGTGCTCTAACTTTTAATGACAGAGTCCTTATAAATACCAGTGTATTGAAAACAATATATAGTTGACCCTTAACGTGGGGTTGAACTGCATGGGTCCACTAACATGTAGATTTTTTTCAATAAATGTATTGCATATTTTTTGAGATTTGTGACAATTTGAAAAAATATTTTCCTTTCTCTAGTTTACTCTATTATAAAAATACAGTATATAATACATAAAACATACAAACTATGGGTTAATCTACTGTTTATGTTATTGGTAAGGCTTCTAGTCAATAGTAGGCTATTACTAAAGTTTTGGGGAGTCAAAAGTTATGTGTGGATTTTCAACTGTGTGGGGGTCACTGCCTCTAGCCCCCTGCATTGTTCAAGGATCAACTGCAATAGAGAAGTATGTATCCTGTAACCTCTGAGACCTCTGTTGACTTTGCTAAAAATAATACAGACATATTGTTTTGGGATATTTTGTAATCAATAATTAGATATGAGGAAGCAGGTTTCTTAACACTCAGCTGTCTTATGATGCATAATAACTTTGTGAATGTTGTCCTGATTATTTAGCAAAAAGAAAATGTGTGGTTTTATTATGTTCCTTTTTAACAAATAACTTAGGGAAAGATAAACATTTGGAGATCTTGACATATAATCTTAAAAATGTCTTTGTTTAAAATATATTACTTTGGGATGTATTAGTATATATTCAGAAAGGGAGAGAGAGTGGAGCCTTTGAAAACCTAATCATGTCATCACGCCACTCTTTAGCTCCAAATCTTCCTATTTTACCCACAATAAAAGCCAGAGTCCCTCCAGTGCCCTTGAAGGCCTTCCACAGGTAGGAGGCCCCATCACTTTTCCCCTATTCCAACTGCACCTTTACTTGCCCTCAACTCCTACTGCTCTCCATCCTCCTCATTCACCTCAGTCACTCTATTCTCTCAGCTTACCAGGCTCCTCCCTTACCTCCTTCCAGCTTTGCTCAAATGTCACCTTCTCAGGGAGTCTTCCCTGACTACCCTATTTAAGATTGCATCTCAGTCTCCAGCTTCCCACAACACACACTGATTCATTCTAGCCTGTCCTTGCTTGACTTTACTCCATAGCACTTATCACCATAAGGTGTACTACACAGTCATGACTTATTATCTGTCTCCTGTTAGAATGCCAGCACCAAAAGGGTAAGGGTATTTGTCAAAATTTGTGCACTCTTGTACCCCCAGAGCCTAGAACACTGACACCCAGAAATATACATTTTTTGATGAATGAATGAATGAATTTTAACTACTGCAAAATGGTGTTCTGTTCTTCAAAGTGTTTTTCTTACTAATTGCACAGGTAGAAATTGTACATGATTATCAGCATTTTTGAATTCCGATATGCAATGCACAGAAAGAATATCATATATATGCTTTTAAAGTTTACTAATTTCCATTCCTTCAGTTTTGAGGAAGTAAAATCAAAAAGGTGGTTGCGTTGTGATGTTAATGGTGGTGGCAGTGGTGGGGAAGACGGGTGGGGATTTCCGTTTCTAGGGAGAATGACAGGTAAAAGTCTTACCGCGATGTTCACGGAATCCAACGTACTGTCTCTGTACTTGATTCTCGGAGTCCAGACCTAGCCTGGTTTGGTAAGCAGCAGAGGAAGAAACCCACAGGGCACTTTCTTGAACGATATCCTGATGCAACTGTGTTTACAGCTTTCAAGTCAGTGCCCAGGGGGAGCTTTACGGCCACCAGCCTCCCGCACCTCTATTTGGCTCGCGGTCCCTGGGCTCCGGGAGGCAGCGCCGCGGGCTGAGGGCCTGCGCCGCGGCACCTGGCGGCCGGGCAGCCGGCGCACGCCGCGCGTTGGGGCGGGCCCCGGGCGCCAGAGGTGCGGCGCGGCCGAGCTCCAGCCAGCCGGCCGCGGGGCCACTCCGCGGGGCGAGCGCGCGGGGCACGGTCCTCGCGGCAGCGGCGACCGCGGGCGCGGCGCGAGGCAGGGCCGGGAGGCGGGGCGGAGTTCGCGCACGGGGGCGCTGCCACCTGCGCGGGGGAGGAGCCAGGGCGGGACGTGGGTCCTGCCGCTCGGACGCGCGCGAGTTCGGAGAACTCCGTCGGGCCATGGAGAGCAGCAAAGGCATCGAGAACCCGGCTTTCGTCCCCTCCAGCCCAGACACCCCTCGCCGGGTGTCTGCATCGCCCTCTTACGTCGAGGTCTCTGCCCTGCCCACCGACAGCCCAAGAGAGGATTCGCAGCCCCAGGAGCCTCAGATGCCGCAGAAGTCACCGGAGCTACCGCTGCCTTCAGCCACTGCCCCTGGCTCCCACGGGCCGGCCGGGCCGGCGTCGCTGTCCGCGTGCGAGGAGGGGCCCTACGGATGGGGGAACTTCCAGCCCCGGTGCCTCCAGCGCTGCAACACGCCCCAGGGCTTTCTGCTGCACTACTGCCTCTTGGCCGTCACGCAGGGTAATGTCCAGCGCCGGCCGGAGAGGGCACTGGCCGTTCGGGCGCCGGCGGGCGGGAGCGACGGGTGCGCGGGCGACGGGTGGTCCGCGCGCCGGGCGGGGCGGTCCCCGCATGGCACTTGCAAGCGCTCCCACGGAACCGCGGCTGCCGGCCACATTCTGGCTTCCACATTCTAGCTTCTCCTTTGTCGCAACATTTAAAACTTGCCACACGGCCTTTTCTTGTTTGTGTTCTACTCAGTTTAGGACATTCGAATCCTCCTAGGAAGATGGAACTTACTGGAGCCTTCCTTTGGGAACGGTTTGTCTTGAGGGAATCCATTCTGCATTAGGAAAGCATACATTTTGCTAAACCCCTTATTAAAGACATTTTTTACATTGTTTCTGGAACTGGAGGATTAATGAATTTACAGATAAGGGTAGGGTAGTTTTCTATGAAGAAACCTGTTGAAAAAAATAGATATATGCACACACAATATGTACATACACGTGTATGTATATGATATACATATACATACACACATATATAGTATAGATTAGATAAGGACATTCATGTTTTGTGACTATTTAATTTGAGTTGTACATCGGGGCTAGAGAGCTCAAGGTTAGCAGGGACTTCAGTTGTTGAAGGGTGAGGCCTTTCAGATGCAAGAGTTATGCAGTACCTGTTTTGTTGGATCTCTTTAAGCTTCTCTGCAAAGTACTGATAAAGCCCAGGTTTATACCCTGGGGAGTTTGCGACCTAAGCCTGATTTGGAGGCGTGAGTGGTTAGGGTGGAGACAGAGTGGCTTTCCTGGAAGAAAACAGAGAGAGGGTAAAAGCTGCTGCAGTGTTGCTGCAGGGGATGAAATGAGAAGTTACACGAAAGTGACAAGTTGAAGAGGGGTGGAAGCTCTGGAAGGACAATCTGAAGGTTAGTTATTTCTTCAATCTATCACATGAGCCATAGATAAAAAGTATTTTGTAAAGAAGCGATCAAGGACTGATTGAAAGAAATGCAATCTAAGAAATATTTTTGGGAGGAGGGGTTGTAAATTGCTCTTTTTGAAGATTAACAGAAGAATAAATCTGAATATATTCCTCCCTTTAAATTTCTGCTCCTCTCAAAGTAACTCAGGGTCTTTTGCTTTGCACGTCAGGGTCTGAGTATTTGTTGATTCCAAGTCAGCTGCAGTTTTTCTGCTAAAGGTGGTTTTATGCTGAAGAGTTTTTCCTTTTCCACCTTTCCTGTCCCCACCAGAGTTTGCGTGCTCTCAATGTCTTGATCTTAGTTGTCCAAAATCAGTGATTGTGAAACATCTCAGTGTCAAAGGAATGGAAAGTTCAAAGAAGCTGGACACAAGTAAAATATTTGTCTTGTGTTTTATCTTGCAACATATTCTGAAACTGCTATAGTATTCCAGAATACACCATTTTACATTTAGCATAAAATATTATTTAAAATTATCAAATATATAATTGGCACTCTTAGAAAAATGTGTCAGGTTTAACTTGGAGCTACATCTCCCCAGAGGCCCCCAATTTAAGAAGCATAATCTGAGATGAAGGTGACCCAGTAAATTCTTGTTTCAGTTTAGGTTTGAATGACTGAAAACATTATAACTGTGTTTCTTAAACATGGTCTTTGGAAAGACTATTTCCATATTACATTAACAGGTGTTTAATTGGGGAAAAAGACAAACCCAAAACTTGTCAAGTGAGTTTACTTAACCCAGCATTTCTCAAAGATGAACAGGATTTCTCTGAGCACTTAATTTCCTAATGTGTCTCTTCATACATTTACAAATAGAGTATGCAGTATTTTATGGAATTTCTTTTTCATAAAACAGAGTGTTTGAAACTTTTGTAGCATAAAATTCATATTGGGATTCATAGGCTTAAAGTGCTACCCTTCCACAAAAGTTTACAAATTTACCTTGTTAGAGAAGTTTTACCATAACAGCCATGAATTCTGATGACTGACTTTTTATCAGTATGGCAGGTGTGCTGGGAAGTTGATTTTTGGGTGGGAAATTTTCATATTTTCAGATAATCTTATCTTTTATAAACATCTTATCCCTGGTACTTTAGATTCTTTATCTTGAAATCATAGGAATTATAAATTGTCCTATAGACTTATTAAACTGGTATAAAAGTAAAAATCATGTTAGAACTTTTGAAACTTGTTTTATCAATTGTCTTGAACTATATTTCCAGTTATAAACAGCCTTGATAAAGTAAAATTGGAAGAGATTAGTAGAGATCATAGCTTGTGTATGGTCTTTGTCTTGACTAATGCATGGAAAAAATTTCTGGTATCCTCTTAAGTAAAAGGAGTAACTAGGTAAAAACTTTGTAATTTGCTCAGATGCTTTTTATTTTCAATTTATGATAATGTTTAAACTCCTGTAAATTTAACCTCTGTCAGGACAGGACTTGTTTATTGTCAGTCAAATTCAGATTTCGAGGTTTTCCTGTTTGTCTTATAGTCCTCCATCATAGCTATAATAAGCAGATGAAGTGTTAAGTTTTGCTTTTTAATTTCCATGTAGAGTAGAATGCAATTAGTTGAAATAAAACTTTTAGTTTACTTTGCTCCACGACTTTTTAAATGATAAGTTTAATGTCTATTCAAAGTTATACAAGGATTTTCAGTTACATATAAGTATGTTAAAGGACTGAACTTGGGAAGCAATTGAGCATTACTCTAATGGCCTCTGGAGTCATCTGTAGTTTCTGTGCTTTTCCCAGTGGGGTCCATGAGAGTACTCTGCGCTTGGAAACTCTAGTAAACCAGCCTCATGAGACTACCAGTCTGCCTTGTCGGTCATTTAAAGGAAAAGGAAGTTAGTTGTGGTTTAGTATGTGATGAGCATCAATTTTATTTAACACCTGAAAATTCACAAGTGTACAATTTAAAAGCAAACTGATACATAAGGAAGTATGTTTGGATTGCCACCCTTTGAAACTTTGAGACATTTAAAACTGGCACATTTAAAAATATAAAAAAAAACACCAAACAACCAAACTTTAGTATGTTAATAATCATGATCTGTATGGTATCATTATAATAATGCACATAAATTTCCTTTTCTCTCTTTTAGGTGTTGTAGTAAATGGCCTAGTAAATATTAGCATTTCCACTATTGAGAAGCGCTATGAAATGAAGAGTTCTCTGACAGGCCTGATATCATCAAGCTATGACATCTCCTTCTGTTTGCTGTCTTTATTTGTATCTTTCTCGGGTGAAAGAGGACACAAACCAAGATGGCTTATGTTTGCTTCGTTTATGATAGGCCTGGGAGCACTTGTATTTTCATTGCCCAAATTTTTTAGTGGAAAATACGAGTTGGGGTCCCTTTTGGAAGGTAAGTTTCTGTTATGTTTTTGTTTTCAATTAAAAAGTAGTATGAAACTAGGCCGTTAACTCTATATAACAGTTCACTTGTTCAGGTAAGGATGGCAAGGACGTAAGTCTCTTTCACTGGCCACTGCTTTGTTTTGATGTGAATTGTGTGAGGTAGGAGTTTTAGATGTATTTTGCATTATTCATTGCTTCAGTGGTTCTCCAAATTTTTAATTCTCAGTTACTCATTCTCCATATTGCACACAGTCCTCAAAAAATGACCTATTTTCCTTTGCCCTTGTGACCTCATTGGGGTCCTATGATCTTCTGTTCTATGTGGTTCTGTTTGCTGTGCTTACAGCTTTGCAACCTGGACAGTTATTTCTTGATTTGAGATAGAGGTGAAATTTATAGGGAAACTGAAGCTTTTCCTAAGAACTGAAACTAGCTCTACTTGTGACTCTAGTTTAGAGATGTAAAACTTCATCAGTTATTTAATGTGTTGCTCCAGTTAGATGAAGAAGTACATTATTCAAAGGCTCAAAACAGAAATTTGATTATTTACATTTATACTTTCTCTTTAAAATAAAAAATCAGTTTTAATGGAAAAGCAATTATAGTAGAGCCAGAATGCTATGCTAATGAAAATAGATCATACAATTTTATAGTCCTTTTTGGAACTTTTAAGAGCAAATATTGAAATAAAATCAGAAAAAATGCTACAGACTCAGAAGCTTTCAGGGCTTAGGTAAATGAAGAAAGGAGAGTATGAAGGAAGGAGAATTAGGGCATTATGCAATAAAGCATTATTTTTAAGAAGCTGAGATTGTTATATTTGTGAGTATTAATATTGAAAATTAATATCATAAGTTAACATTTCCCAAGACCATTGCCTAATTATAGAATGACAACAAATAGGACAAACATTTCAATCCCAAAGCATATATTACTCAGCATGGTTTTACGGATCCACTTATTAGGTATGCAGACTTCATCTTGGAAATAAAAATAGATTATGCAAACATGTGGACCAATTGAGGATGTTTTAAGAGTGTTTTACAGTTTGGAATGAATGAGATAAGGAGAATATGTTATCAATGGGAAGAGCACTTAATGTAGATCCAAGCCTGTTATCTAAGATTGGACAAGACTGCATAGGCCAATTTCACATATCACTAGGGTTAGTTTGGGGAACAAGGCATATTAAGCTTTACTATAACACTTTTGAAATCTTAACACTAAGGAAAAATCTAAATTTTAGTCTGTTACACATGAAACAAGATTGCTATGATAGCAAGAATATTATCCTGCTTATAGCATTACTCTGTATAAAATCTAATCTTTCACTCTTCCAGCTGATCAGATTTCTACTTGTTCTTAAAGTATACAAACTTTGATAAAAAATCTCTCCATAAACTAAAACATAAATGCGTATTCCAGTAAAAAAGCCTAATCTGTCCTCAGCAATATTCCTATTTTCATCTCTTTCATACCGTATCTTGAACTGCAGCAATTCTGAATGGATTCTATTTCCCAAAGGGGAATGACCACAAATTAAGATGTGTGTGTGTGGTTGTCCAGAGATGAAGCCAGGAAGATTGCTGAAGCAGATAATAAATTTTAGTACATTATTGTGTACTGTGCAGTTTTCATTGAATTTTTAAAGTAGATTATTAGATAGAGGGTTTGGCTGATCTGTAAATTTCTACTGTAAATTAAGACCCATAATTTAAAAGATAGCTTATCTGTGGCAAATGAAAGCAGAAACTCAGGTTGCCCTCATGTTATTCTGTCATTCATAACAATGTATATTTATTGATGTGGACTATATGTGGTATGGAGTAATAGAGAAAAAGCTTCATGTTAAGTGAATTTTATATACCAGTGGAAATACAAAATTAATAAATAAGCAAGATAATTGGAGATTGAAGTGAGTGTATGAAGGGAACAAATAGTATGAAGAGTATACCTAGACAATCTGTGGGCAAGAGAAGGCTATTTTGATACTGGAAAATGAGGAGCCAGCCTGAAGAGATGCTTTCCAGCATGAGGCATTTAGGTTTTCCTTTAAGTGCAATGGGAAGTCATGAGAGAGTTTCATATGGGGAAGGGCATGATGTTACTTGTATTTTAAAATGACCATTTTCACTTATGCTGTTGTGAGGGACAAGAATACATGGAAGTAAAGCACCCAGGAGGTTTATGCTATACTCTAGGTTAGAGATAAAGGTGACTGGGGCTGGCTCGGTAGCAGTGGAGATGTAGAGGAGTGACTGATTTTCAATGTAGCTTGAAGGAAAAAGAGACTGGATTTCCTAGGGAGCTGATTGTGCAGGAGAAATGCATAATAATTCTGATATTTGGCTTCACTAACTCGGGCCATTTGCTAGAATATGGAAGACTGGATTGAACAGACTTGGGACTGGAAATCAAGAATTCAAGTTTGGACTTCTGTGCGAACTTCACATTATATATGCAATGTTGCAATATGTATCTTTGAACATATATGTTTATGTAAATGTGCAAGTCATTCTTTAGTGTTTATTCCTATAAGAGCAAATACTGGGTTTGAAAGGCTTCTTCATTCTAATCTTTGATAGATAACCTTACACTGACTTTTAGGAAGGGATATAACAGTTGCTCTCCTACAGTCAACTGAAAATGCCTACTTGTTATTTTGGATTTTTGCATTCTTCTTTTCCTGAAATTTTTCCTTAATAGAAAGATATGTTATTGTGCTATGTTTGTGTTTGTGTGTATGTGTAGTTGTTTACAGTATAACATATACCAAACCCAGCCCTGAAATTGCATTAAATATCTAAATGAACCCAGACACTTAGAAAAAATGTTAGAAATCACAGATCGTTTCTTCATTAATGGAGAACATCAGAACAAGAGGCAGAGTGACTTCATAGTGATTTTATAGATGGGTCAATAAGAGCTAGAATTGATACTAGTTTTCATGCTATGTTTAATGTTTTTCAAGTTTTTGTTTATGACTCATAGGTATATTAACTATATCACATAATTTCAATATTTTTATGAATGTAATCCATTTCTTCCCCAATTTCAAACAGCCAATTATAACGGTCTATACTTTATTTAAAAATTAACTTGTCTGCTCACATCAATTAGCCCACTTTTGCAGATTTGGAATCGGAATTTGGGGAGCCAAAAATCTCAATTATTTGTTCAAGTCTAAAGGGAGTGTAGAAGGAAACTGGAGATTTAAGTGGGAATAGGAAAGAAATCAGTTGAAAACTTCCTGTAAATAAGTTAGAAGCAAGGGAATGTATAGTCTTCTTAGGTAACATTATATAATAACCTAAAAAGCATAACATTAATAAGTTATCTTATTAAAATCAATTTAATTTGAAACTGACTGAGAAAATTAACATATTCCTTGGTGTGCTTTTTTTGTTGTTGCTGTTCTTTGAACTTGAGAGAAACCAAAGTCAGGGCTCAGTTTGGATGACATCATCTGTCTAAGAGGAGATTAAATTAATGTTATGTAGTTGGTAAGTAGAGGAAAACAAAATATGAGATATAGTAAGCGTGTATGATTTCCACAGGTGTGAGGATAACACAAAAATAAGTTAAGAGCAAAGGGTACAAAAGGTACCAAATACATAAATGTGTATTTGGAAACAGCTTGAATTTTCTATTGTTCTGTGATAAATCTCAGTAGGTTTGGGAAAGTATTTTTTTAATGGAGATAATAGGGTTAGAGGTGATTATCTAACTTTGAATGGAGATAATATCATTTATCAAAGGGAAGTTTTGGTTCTTGGATGCAAAAGGAAAAGGGAAGAATTAAAATTAAGAGAGGTAAAATAGATGCTTCAAAGGGCTAATTTTTGTATATGTTAACCTGAAAATTGTGTCATAAAACATTTTCAGGTAAATTATATTTGACACTCACTTTTGATATATTATGACCTAACATTAACAGAAAATAGTATATTTTAATGTAACTTTCAAAAATTTAAAAAATGTCACGTAAATGAATCTTTATCACATAATATTTGTTTTTATTCAAGCACTTTTTAATTCTTTGTGGATGAGTGTTCATTTAATATTGTTAAGCAAAATAATCTTTTCATCTCTTTGAGACTTTGGGTTGGGAGGTCATTAGTAAACCTAGAGAAGCAATTACTATATCTTGTAAAGCTCTTTTTCTTTGCTGACCAATAGTTGGATAACTTTTCCTAAGTGGTGTTAGTTTCTTGTTTCTCTTTTCCATCCTTTTCTCTCAGAAATAGGTCTCAACACTCTACATTTGATTCAGTACTAAATTTCCAGTATTAGATTGGAATTTCAAGGCGGATTCTGCACCAGAGGACTTTGGCTGCAGTGTGACTACTTAAAAAGTTGAACTAGAGAAATGATTAGCAAGGAACTCAAAGCTGGATTTAATTCTTAGTTACTGTTCTATCTTTTATTTTGCATTCTTAAGTTTTTTTTTTTTTGTATGTGATGCTTGCTTGGCTTGGAGAAGACATAAAGCCAAGAATCTGAGTTTTTTCAAGCAGTAATTCAATATAGGATGCTGTAATTTTCCTTGGCCTCTTTTAAAAAAATTACCCCAGTTATCTTTTCAATCCATTTTGAAAAATAGGCATCCAGTTTAATGTTTAATTACTTTGTAAATTCTCAACTGGGAGCATAGAGAGAAAAGTGTCTTTTCATTTCAGGATTATTGCTTTATGGAGTTTCACAACCACCATGAAATACTAGGTACTCTGCTGCAGTCAGTTTTGTTGAAATTCAAATGACCAAGCTTCGGAAATAGTGGAAACTCACAGAGAAAAATAAGTAGAAAAGCATGTGTCAGTGAGATGTTAGCCCAAACTCAATTCTGCACACAGCTATAGTGTGCATATAGGTAGAGATTTTAAGAATCTGTGGCCTTAAGCAAGAGAAGGTAAGTCCCAGAATTTTCTAAAGTATGACCTGCAGAGCAGAGTTTCTGAAGGTATTAAGAGTATATAAAAATGTATTCCATGGTTTAATGAGTTTAGG